AAAGTTCGTATATCTCCTTTCTACACATTGTTGACAAACTTGAGACAGAGATGAGTAGACGAGGACAGGTATATAATGATCTAGCAGTTTGATTTTCTTGTTTGGTCGATGTGCCACAAACATCTGAGTTTTGTGAAGGACTAATAATTATGCTTATCCCGAAGATCTGAACAATAATTTATATACTGAACTACAACAGTTCCACTCATATATCCGCCACAAGTTTCGTGCATCAAAATCTGAGAACAACACGTCCAGTCATGCAGAACTCTACAAAGTAATAGTTAGAGACAACATCGAGTGTGTTTTTTCCAAATGTAGAAATCACCTTGCGCATATTTTTAACATTAATGGTTACGAACTGTTCAACTGAGCGCTCCTTTTCTCAACTGAAACGTACAAAAAATCCAAGTAGATCAACAATGAAACAAGAAAGGTTTGATTCCTTATCTTTGCTGATGATTGAGGCAGACTTGTTGCACAAAATTAACTTTGATGATGTCCTCAAAAACTTTGCCAGACGTAAATCTAGAAAAAAGAACTTAAAATGTAAATGTGTTCTCTCTCTGACTTTCTTATCTATCAAAAGAGTTACATGGCAGTATTTCGTCTACTATTATTACACAATTAATTAACTACTAATTTTAATACAGAAATACCTTATTGTACGTTTTATATGAGTGATAGTAGTACAAACATATGTGTTTACATTTCACAACTGTTTTTCTTTGTTAGTTTTATTTTCTGCATAATATTGAACACACCAGCAGTCAGTGGAGGATGGGGGCCCGGGGCAGTAGGGTTTGTGCCTAGGGCACCAAGATGGCTTAATCCGGCCCTGGGTGTAAATGGGGTTAGAATGACTCGTTACTGTCACGTTAGTTTTTTGTCTTTTTTAAAGTAGGTAACGCAAATGCAAACATATGAGCGCGTGTGGTCTAACAATCGCCTGAGGCATTGTGTATTGTTTACATGTGGCGTACTGTGAGATGACCACTGGATTTTTATTTAAGTCAGGGACCAGTGGATGTGGGAGAAGACTACATGTAGTGTATCGTTTAAACTGCAATAAACACGCTATGTGTTTGCATGATATAATGGGATTCAACTGTTTCATCTTAATCAAATGCTACGTTATTCCCTCTCGCCACATCCGTAAATCTCGCCCCATAACGTAATTTTTACTTGGGCTAGCCACAAATATTTTTAAGTGTCATTTCTAGTTAAAAAGGCATACTTCGCTGGGCAGGATATATTGAACGGGTGCCAGATTGTAGAGAAGCAAAAGTGATATACAAACAGAAACCTAGGCGCCGACGGCTCACCGGTCGTCAAGGACTGACATGGATCGACGATGTAGAGAAGGATTTACTTCAGTTGGGAGTTCGAGCATGGAGGCGGAAAGCCATGGATCGATCCAAATGGAAGGATGTGGGGGAGCAGGCCAGGGCCCTACATGGGCCGGAGAGCCACTGATGATGATGACATTTCAAGTTAATGCATTTAAAAAAAAGTTTTTTTTAATATTCTTATTTTAATAAGACACTAAAAACTATGCACATTATATCTTATCAAAGCTAAAGATTGGCCTGATTGATAATGATGTTCATATCTTCTTTCCAATATCTTCTGGCTCAGCAGCCAATGTCCGGATTGATAATGATGTTCATATCTTCTTTCCCATATCTTCTGGCTCAGCAGCCAATGTCCGGATTGATAATGATGTTCATATCTTAAGGCTCGGCAGAAACCCCGATCAATCGATTTTCGGCCTTTTGGCTTCAATTTGGTTGTGTCAAAGGCACGGATCTTTCAAATAAAGAGAGACTTGCAAGGGCTGAAACCCGAAAGGTCCGTGCACGAAAGGGAAGACTTTAAATTTATAAGAGAGTCCTTTTTGTCACAGTACAGCCAGGGGCGGATTCAAAATAAGCTTTAAAAAAAACAAAAAAACAATCACACACTGATAAACTAGTATAATAGAAAAGACCAATTCATACTAAAAGAAATCCATTCAAGCCAGCTTAACAAAATCTTTTGCATTGTTCTTTGCTTATTTGGAGTTTGCGACCAGGCGTAATAAAAAATTTAAAAAAATAATTCCCAATCAAACGAACATTGATAGGGTAAAAAAAAATGAATAAATGAACTTCAAAATATATATGTTGAAATAATTGCTCTCATAATATTTATATATTTTTTTTACTAGATTTCCTTTATAAATTTCTAATCCTTCCATGGTATTCAAAAAGCTTTTAAAGCAGTTTTAAAGTAAGTGTGTGTGTTCCAGAGTTGTCTACACTTGCCCTGGCAAGGTGGGGGAGGAAGAAGTTGCTTTCAATGCAAGTTAATGGGACCCCCACCCCCATTTTGCAAGCTTTTGTTTTTCTCCATGTCACAAAATAGAATAGTCAATAATATTCAAACAATTTTTTTTAAAACTGTAAATTATTGTATTACTAATATTTTTGGTGAATAAAGCGTTATCAATACAACACTGGAATCAACCACACACATAATTTATCGATTCCAAGATCTGAAAGGGGTGGTGGGTGGGCTTCCACAACTTTAGAGTGAAATAGACGCCCCCACGTCCGTTTATTTTTAGAGGAATCCACTGTTGGACTGCTAGTTTTGTTTTAGTCTTTACTTGTGAAGATGCCTGACAAGAGTTCATCCATACATTACGTCCACACTGCAGTGAGAGGGTGCTGTTGCTTTAGTATATTTAGCATACGTTTTTCTTATTACCCGAGTATGTTGGCAAAGGGCGTTGGCAGAAAGTTGCGTACATTTATTTCGTAAATCTAGAATAGTTTATCTTAAAATATGACAGTCTGTCCATGGCCTATTTATATAGCGCCTAAAAATCAGTGAAATCAAAATATCTTCCCCGTAACGGTTTGTAAATGTCGTGTTAGTGCTCTTACTTTGTGTTTACAGAAATGAACACAGTACAGACGGAAAAAGTAAAAAGCAATATCCGGACCTGTGACAAATTAAAATGTTATTGCCACACACACACCACAA